CACACTTGCGCGTGCGTGCGTGGGGGGGAGTGCATGCGGGGGTGGGAGATCTGTCTCCGTGGCCCAGTCCTGCCAAGGCCATGCCCAGTACCAGGCCACAGACCGGGGTTGGGGACCCCTGCTACAGAAAACTATTATTATCTCCGTGGAGCAAGGATGAGCCACACTAGCCCTCTAGATGTTGCTTGGCTACAGGTTACAGGAATATTACAGCCAACAGTGAGGGATGTTGGGAACTAAATCCCAGCAACATCTAGAAAGTCATAAGTTACCCATCCCTGTTGTACAGGAACATGCAAAGTTAGTTCCGTAAGGTCCAGGGTGTATAATGCATTAGAATGTTTCTGCATAATTTGTATTCTGAAAGACAATGGATACTTCCATACAATCAGAGCCTCATAATTACTTTTCAACACAAAAAATAGAACGTGAGGCCTAAATTCAGTTGCCATAAAGCAACCCAGACCTACTGAATCAACAAGATTTACAGAAGTGTTGACTTGTCATTCAGCAATTGACTTAATTGGTCTGTTTCAGTTATGCCCGTATTATGTTTGAACCAATTTTCCTCTCCTTGCTTTTCAGATATATTTACTTCATAGAGCTGATGTTAGAATCTGTAATTCATAAATGTTGTACAGGTTTTCCTGGGACTAAAATTTCTTCCATGTGTGAACTGTTAAGATGCTGTGGAAGACTGACGTTAAGGGGAGACATTGTTAAAGCTTTAAAAATCATATTGAACAAGCAAGCATCAATTAGACATGGAGTGGCAGACAGAATGGAACAATAAGGACAAGATGAAAAATGGGAGGGGGCGGGACAAACACCCTACAAACTGTAGATAAAAAGGGAGGACATGGGTGTCACCTGTCACAGACAGGAGAAAGCCATCATGTCGGAGAGTTTTTATACAGTATTTCTGGTTGATTTATGATGAAAAAATCCTACTTATCTACCACACAACAAAGGCTGGTCATAACTGGTTTGCTCTCTCTGGACATGTATGTATTTTGTATTTAGAATGTAATAGAAATACTTTCCAAACTACAATGGCTCATCACAATCATCTGACGTCTGCATCACATCTTGTAAAAGTTATGTGACCCAATAATGATATTGAATGTTCACACAGAAGTGAAAACTATTCCCTATATATGGCTTGCACTGTGCTTCTATAATCCCACTAAAACATACTGTTTGACATACCCTGACAAATACTTCTCTATTTTCTCAATCTGCCCAAATCCTCCAATTGCTTTTTAATTTTTATTCTAAGCAATGTTTGTTTTTAATCTGCTTCTCAGCAATGCTGCTTTATCTCTTACTTTTCAGTCTTGTTTTGGAGTATTTTGAGGCTGTGCTATAGGTATCATCTACCTTATCGCTGGCAGTTAAAAAAAATTATAGTGACAAAAACTGACAACATCTTGTTGTTGTGGAGTGCAAATTAAAAAAAAGAAATTAACAACATCTTACATATGAGGATTTTCCCCCAAATAAAACTGTGGGTAGTAAAGGCTTCTTAGAAACTGTTCAAGTGCAGAAACATGTGCCCATGTTCATGTCCTATATCTAGTAAATCTTATTATTTCTATTAGCATTATAAATAGCTCGGTTCTTCAGCAAATAAGAAAGAGACTAATGGCACCGATCAATACCATACTCTTCACCACAACTAATATTAAGCTGTTCATTACAACATTGCCTACTAACACAAAGGTGTTATCAACCATATCAGCGATTCCATCCACAATACTTGCTCACTCACATTTTCTTAAAAGCCATGTTCAAAAGAACTTCTTTGAGGAAATTCTTACCATACAAAAACTTGAGTTATTTAAAATATCTTTCGAACTTAATTTTAAACAGATTAGATGTAACAAGTGTTCTATGGACTTCTAACTGCTATTCAGAAACAGGTCTCTTCCAATTCCGGTGTTATTTCTATATAATCAAGCTAATCACCTCAATTACAGGAACAGAGTTCACAAAGGAAGTGCCATCCCCTCAGAGTGATGGACTAGGGCTTGGGAGAACAGGGTTCGAATCCCTGCTCGGCCATGGAAACTCACTGAGGGAGTGTAACTGGAAAAACCACTCCTTAAATATCTCACTTACCTTGAAAACCCTGTTTGAGTCGACAGCACAGAATACATACACACAAATAAATAAAGCTAATTTCCTTTACAATCTTATGTAATGACAAAGATCACTTCCTCTGGTAAAACTTTAACATCAGAATTAGAAGTTCATTCCAGAAATAAAAACAGGCAATATCCTCAGAAAAACTGTTCACATGTCAAAGATGCTTGTCTGGTCGGCAGTTAATCTCTCTACTTATGGCTAAGACATTTATGTAATCTGCACTCTGAAAGCTCATAACTTGCAACCATATTGCTACTGTGACTTTGAAAGTTCATTATCTATGCCTGTTTACCTCTTCACCTGGTGCCTCTTATCACAACTATGTATACTGTGTACATAAATCACTGACTAAATATTACACTCCATATGCCCTAGGATTTAATTTAATTTAATAATTTAATTTAATTTACTTTTCTCTTCTTTTTCTACTTATTATTTATGATTTATTATGGTTTGTTAATTGACATTTGATATTTTTGGATCTATGCTGTTATAATTGTCTATTTTTATGTTAGCCGCTCAGAGTGGTATTGACCTACCAGATGGGCGGGATACAAATCAAATAAATAAATAAATAATTAAAAAAAAATAGGAAGTGGGTTGTATTCCATGAAAGATCACACTGAAATAAATCTGTTAGTCTTTAAGGTGTCACAACACTTTTGTTTCTGTTATACACATACATCATGCTAGACTATTCCAAGCACGATTTAACCAAGGCATATATCACCGTGGCCAGATCAGCTATCTCCAGGGAATTAATGCAGTTGGTACACTAGCACAAACTGCGCAAATAGATTCCTGGTCACCTGAGCATCCTATAGGATTGCAAGATCGGCCAGAGCTCTTTTTTTCATAAGGTTATAACTAAGTCTGTTTGGCTGTGCTCTTTAATATAAATACTGTATGTATATAAAAAAAAGAAACCATGCCGTCATTGCAATCCAAATATGCAAATTGTGGAGTCTGGGAAAAAGTAATGGGATCAATCAAAATATATCAATAGATGCTGGGCAAAGTATTAACTCTGGTTAATAAAGAACGGAGAAAGATATTTCAAGCCTTCTACTCTCAGCTGCCCTGGAGGAGGCAAGTAACCATACCCTGAGGTTCACTGTAGTCCATTTGTGTCATGAGAAGTTCTATTCTGTCAATGGAGAGCTGATGACCATCTGTCAGGGAAGTTTTAGCTGTGGATTTTTGGTTTTGGCAGGGTGTTGGACTCAACAACCCGCAGGACTCCTTCCTGCTCGACAATTGTATAATTCTTTAATAGCCCAGAGAGTCAGTGTGGTGTTGTGGGCAGTGTTGAATTAGGACTCAGGGGAAAAAATGATCAAATTCCATCTTGGCTTGAGTTTACAAGAGTTGAGCAGGGGGAAAAATGATCAAATTCCATCTTGGCTTAAGTTTACAAGAGTTGAGCAGGCCAGTGGAGGACAGGCTATTTGGAATATTGTTCATTCATATGGTCGCCATATGACTTGATAGCACATAAAAAGAACTTTCTTTCAGAAATAAAACAGAATTTAACATACAAAACATTGGGAGCAAAGGGAAATTTAGCTCTTTTGGGTAAAAATTATCAACCCACCAATGAAAAATAAACTACGGCTCAGATCCTGCTGCTTTGTTACACATGCTGAAGGCAATGGTGTACCATTCAGTCACTTCTAGCTGACAATTCATGAGTCCCTCCTGGGATCCTTCAGCATGTGTTGAGCCAGTGGATGTAGGTATTCTCAAGAATCCCAGTGGCGACTTGTTAACTGGCAGTCAGAAGTGTCTGAAGATTACATCATTTGCCTTCTGCATGCATGATAAAGCAACAGGATTTCAATTTGTATCATCTAATCTTGGATGAAGCGGTTGTACATAAATATAACCTTCACCTTTTTTCAGTCAAATACAAGCGGATAAGCCAAATAAAGTATCCAGGTTCAAAATAGATAACAATGTTATAGAAAAAAAGGTTCCCCTTGACAATTTTTTTGTCCAGTCGTGTTCGACTCTAGGGGGCGGTGCTCATCCCCGTTTCCAAGCCATAGAGCCAGCGTTTTGTCTGAAGACAATCTTCCGTAGTCACATGGCCAGTGCGACTTAATGTTATAGAAGACCAATATTAATTTAAATGTTGAATTTTAATTTAATTTTGAACAAAATAAACAATGTGTTATATTCATATGCTGGTCATTAGCTTACTCTCTCATCATTTAGAGTCTGATGCCTCTCCTACTCCAACTGAAAACTGAGAAAATGGTCCATACTGATCCCCATCAGCCACCCAAAATGTCAACTGAGGTAGGGATTTCTTTTCTAGTTGCATACAAATGTACACACACACGTTCTTTTTAAGATATGCAAGAAGAATCCTACGCAGCTTCAGTTCCAATAGATAGCAAACAAAATGGAATTTCACTCTCAGCAACCACAATAACATGGAAATTGGCACTGAGAGATTTCAAAGATCCTGATATACATTTTAAAGAGATCTCAAACTAAAATGTCATAAGTTGTCAAACTGCAACATTCTTATCCCCCTCCATTACTGTGCAACAGATGGACACTTGTGCATATTGTTGGTGAGGGCATGAAGACATTAACATGTGTGATGTCTACCCAGAACAGTTGTGGCATTTACTAGTCCTCAACATTCACAAGACAGGGTTGTGGATCATGGGATGTGCCTCTAATTCTAATTTTTTCCAACCAAACATGGACATACAGTATATACATACAAAACATAAGGTAAGGTTTTCCCCACAAAATACATTAATTTACATTGTTGCTCTATTGCTTAGAGCCATGCTTTCAAAACTATTTTAGATTTGGATTCCACAGGAAATACTTACGTGATATAACACTGTCCATATACTGTGGTAAATAAGGAGCCCACATGTCAATTGTTTCCTTTCTCCCCACCTGTTCAATTCTTCTCAGTTCTGCTAACAGCAAGGCCTGGGCAGCCTCTCTCACCTGCAAAGCCAACCAGAGTATGCATTTGCAACAGGATTCCACACTGCTCAAGTGAATTTACACACTGACGTTGACATAAGTCATAGATCTTCTTGAGTCAGATATGTTACAAAAAATAATTCCAGAGGGGGAATGTGTAACGCAGAGATCCAAAGTAATCATGCAAATGACAACTTGTCCAAGCAAAACTACCGTAGGGAAAATAAATAGAACATTTCTTTTGTGGAAACTCGGGTAATTCATTGATGAGCCCTGAAAATTCTCCTTCATTCATTTAGGGACAGGAGAATTTGTGAGCCAACTATTCATTTTTAATTGAGAAAAATGCCTTGTTCCAATTCACCCACATGACACTGACAGGATAGGACATGATCCCTTTGTGGCTTCTTTCCAGGCAATATGTACAGCCAAGAGCTACATGAGCCTTGGCAATGCCATAGAAGATTTTGATACAGATATTGGTCTGACACATAGACATCAATGCAATAGTAACATAGTTTCAGTTTACTTGGGAGGTGAAAGAAAAGCTGCCATGAGGAGGTGGCTCCCTCCCCACTATATTGTACAAATTGTGGGTCCCAGGCATAGTGCAAAATGGTGGTAAGGTAACTAAGAACCAAGGAATGACTAGATTTACAATTTTTTCTCTGACAATTACTGCTATAGGCTTCAAATATAAGGACTGAATGCCAATGGAGAGTTTCCAATTGTGTATAGTTTCCAACTTCTTCTCTCTATCATTGTGTGTGTGTGTGTGTGTGTGTGTGTGTGTGTGTGTATGCATTTATTTATTTATTTATTTATTTATTTATTTATTTATTTATTTATTCATTCATTCATTCATTCATTCATTACTTATTTATATTATATTATACTGCTCCATTAATGCTTGAACATCCATTACACTGGGCAGTTTATAGAGTAAGACATTGAAAACCTCACCCACCCCCAGATAATAATACAATCAATGTGGGCTTCAATACTAGTAGAAATAATAGTAAAAAGAAAAACCTAAATTTAGAAATTAATATTAACAACATCTGGGTATATGTTTTTAAAGGCTGCTTTATTACTGGAAACTTGTTCTGATAATTAGGGGCCAGCAACGAGAAGGCCTGGTTCTTCACTGACACATTTTTACCCTCCATTTGTATAACCACCTTTAACAATGTGGATTGGGAGGAGCATGTGAAATGGGCAGTTGTTTTTCCAGGAGAGACATTTGGACAAGTATCAAAGCCCTAAACCATTAATTTATGAGAATCAAAGTTGAAGCTCTCATGAATTTTGCATGGTGCAGACCGGTCCGAAAGACAGACAGACAGATGGAAAGAAAATAACTTCTCTCTTCTCCAAGCTATTACACTGGAATGGGTTAGGAACTAAAATAACTGGTTAGCAATAGTGAGAAGTATTGGCTACTATATTTGACTCAATCCCAATTCTAATTCACATCTCCAGCTGCAAATTTTCAGTTAGGGTGAGTAGCCAGCACACAATTCTACTGTCACAGGTATGTTCCTCCTATACTTCTTTTAAAGCTGCACAATCAACATAACCCTCTCTCTCTTTTTTTGCCACAACAGCTTAAATGGGATGTCAAGGCCAGATAGTCATTTATCAAAAATAGTAGGTGCCAACCCCATCTGCAGACTGGCGGGTTCTAACGGTGCAATAGCCTCCACTCTCTCTAAAAACTGGCTTAAATAACCTCACACTTGAATGCCCTTCTCCTTATTAGAACAAAAGATGACTAAAATTTCGATATAGTGGAATCCTCACTACAATCAATGACATCTTTGTAGCTCCTGTCTGCCATCATTAACCACTTCACCACACAAACAATAATGATTAGAAATTTTAAAATGCTCTGTTAAAAACAACATTAATTATAACACCCCCACAAATGCATATCAGCATTTCACACTGAAGAACCGTCTACAGGAACAAAAACGTTTCCTGGATAGATGTACAGTGCTCTGTTCTCTACATACACCCCTGCCTTTTTAAAAATATCCATAGTATTTTAAAAGGATTAAAATTAAAAGTGCAGCAGTTACTGAACCGTTGATGCTTTGAGAATAAATGAACTCCACGCAGCTTAATCCAACTAAGTTGGTCTGTCTGTACTTCACAGAAAGGAACATCTTTGCTATTCAGATGCAGTTCCATGTCTTCTGATGGAACAATGATGACATCCAGTGGCCAGAACATATCATCCTGCTTTTTATATGAATCTTGTTCTCTGAAGTCTAGCTTTCCATTTAACTACAATATACTGTTGTCATACTGGAATGTTAACTCTCCATTCTACAAAACTGACCTGCAAATTGAACTGCATCTCCCTATATATAAATCCAACCATTAAACCAGAATTATAGTACACTTTTCTTGGAACAATACATCCAATATAAAAATAATATTTCCCATGATGGCCAACACATTCATTCTCCCCCAAGTGCTGCCTTCAATAATAATAATAATAATAAAACCAGTACCTCCAAGCATCGATCTTGCCATCTACGAGCCAACATTTCAAGGAGAGGTGGTCTAAATTTATCCAAGCCCAACAGGTCAGGGAGCATAACACAATGCATAGCAGCCAGCTGACTCCATCCTGTCAAGACACAGGCAAAAACATATTAAATCATGGCAGGGATGTTTAAACAATGCTATATTTACCTGCATTAAGAACTATGTCTGCCAATTTAAAAAAAATTACCATAATTTGCCTCCACACTTTAAATCATCCTCAGTACTTTTCAGAATAAACAGTATTCTAGTTGCACTGAATGAATAACTGACACACTAAAAGGAGGATTTGCAGCATGCTGTCATGTCTTCCTGATCATAAAGGCCACCAAAATTAAAGCTCAGATTAACCACTTCGCTACGATTTATTTATCACTTTGCTATTTTGCTTTGCTTCTAACTTTTCCTTCTCATCCAGGATATTTGGTGATTTTTAGAGCTGTATAACAAGCCCTACAGAGAAGAAATCTTCCAGATAGACAACAGTAACTGATACAACCAGGTTAGAATCAGTTACCATGGGGCATTTATTCAAGCAATGGGGCATTTATTCAAGCAATACCGTTCCCCTTATCTTTCTGCACTAAGCATCTGAAACTTGTTCTCTGACCTGTTTAGACAATCACTTCATTAGGATAAAACAGACGCTGGGCCCCATTAGGAAAAAGGGTTGCATGTTAATAGCCATGCAAATAATGCTGTCCTTTCTTCTCCACTTCCTACTGATCCCCTATGATGGTCATGGCCCAAAACTACAACACAGCTTAACTTCATACACCAATTCTATGAAAGACTAGATTCAAAGGTGCCCTTCCACATGTGGAAAAAAAAATCATCAGCTCACAGAGAGGCCATGAATATGAATATGAAAATAATTTAAAAAATCTATCCATTTGCCAGGTTTTTTTAAAAAAATATTTAGGGAAACGTTAACTATAATATATTTTGACTTAAATGTTACATTGTGAATCGTGCTTCAGATTGCTGTGACTTGGGCCATGTCTGTACAGGATAAACTAGAATCCCTGCATATAAATCCAGTCCATCCAGTCTTCCCTTGCACACAAGTAGATACACAGATGATGAACCATTGAGAAGATAGTGAAACCTTGGGTACGTGGTTCTCATGTCTATGAATTATTGGGTATGAAGCCCATTCTAGATGGAACTTTTCCTGAAAAAGCAGACTGCTCCAAACACTCCTCAGTCTGTTACTTGAGGTTCTGCTTGCCTCACTGGCTAAAAATAATAATAAAAAAAACCTTTTACTAGTTTTGGCTGGTTTGCCAGAGACAACTGCTGCCCGACAGGCACAGTCTGCTCAATGCTTCATTGTCTAGTAAAGAACATGAATGCTCTCCCAATTGGAATACTGCAATATGTTTTATCTAGGGCTGCACTTGAAAAAAAACAGAAGCTTCAGCTAGCACAGAACTCAGAAGCCAAAATTGTAACTGAAACGCCAGGTGGCATCAGGGTAGATAAAAAAATAATTTTTAATTCACTATTTACATTTTTTAAAATGATTTCTTTATTTAAAATCATCAAAAAATCAGAATCTCTTTTAATTCAAATCATTATTTAGTTCAAATCCACCCTGAGTGGAATCATATTATATATAGTTCAGAAGGTGCTTCATCAGATAATTATATCCTATGTGTCTGAGTCAAAGTTCAGGTTCCGCTGGCTACCTCTAAACCTAAAGTCTATTTTCTTCCTCTACTGAAGGCAGTCAGGGAAGGGTCTTTGATGTACTTTTGGTACATTATAGATTACCAAAAAAGAGTGCCTTGTTGGCTTTGGTAACCCAAAATGATGCTAACACTGCAAGTGTTTCAGGAACAGCTCAAAAATCTCACTATCCTTATTCTCTCTAATTGTATCTTTACAAAAATTGTATTTTTTAAAAAAAAAATTAGGATGTGCTTTTCTTTTTCTTTTAATCTTTGTACTCTGTCTTGCCATCCAGCCAGAGTGAAGGGCAGTTTTGAAATTTTCTAATAAGTAACCAATAAGTAACTTGAGACTGTTTAACAAACCTGGTATCCTGGTTTTGTGCTCCCAAATCATGTCAAGCAACAACCAAAGGGAACAAAAATGTTCTTGATGGATATTTTCTTTCTATTTACAGTTCTTCCAAGTTTAACCCACAGTATTCAATTATTGTTTAATTTAAACACATATTGTGTAAGTGAATTCCTGCATGTACACATGACAGAGAATGAGAGACAAAGTGCACACATGTGCTTGAAATAAATACATGTGTGCGTATGTGAATGACACATACAAAGATAAGCCATCTGTAGACAAAGGTTCTGATGAACCTGAAAGAACACTCATACCTTAAAAGAATGTTGATCATTCCATCTATAATCAATGTATCTGAAACAATACATTTCTTGTCCGTGCTATAGATTTATCACAACGACACACAGAAATGACATGTGAAAACAATGGCTGCAATCCTGTTCTTTGCACAAACACATACTCTCAGCAGCGCAATGAGCAAGAAGAGACATATGCCACAGAGCACTATTGATGTTGTGGTATATATACACAAGAGGGAGAAGAGAGAGAAGGGATAGGACCGAATCCTCAGTAGAGACCAAAACAGATGCATAATCTCATCCCCTCCCTATGTTGTTTTCTGTGGGAGTTATATTTTGTTGAGACTTTTATTCCTCTTCCCCATGGCTGAATAGAGGAAGAGCACTAGAAAATAATTAGCACTAACACTGGTGGCTTATGTGTGGCAGATTCCTTTGCATACAAATGCCATAGCAACACAGCTAGAAAAATACTTCAAACTCCTAAGCACCAGAATTGTCAAGACTTCAGCTATGAATAATAATGAAAAGCACAACAAAACTGTCAGCACTGGAATCAATCTCTTCACTATTTCAGTGACAATGCTATAAACTAGTTCTATATCTAACTAAGCAAATGATGTGCAGGCTTGCAGCCCATATATAAAACCAGACACAGGTTTTCAGCCATCAAACACCCTGGCTAGCGCTCCATTCAATATTTACGGATTTGTGGACTTCCGGCTGTAAAGGCTGCTGCAGTCATCTAACAAAGTACTGGTTGCACACAACTAAGGCACACAACATCATTAGATCACCACAACAGGTTCCGCAGGTGAAATTCTACATGCAGAAATATTAAGTGGGATATTGAACTCTAAAGTTTTTCTTTTAAAAAAAGAACACTAATTTTTAAAGCCACAAAGGCACGCACGCAAATTATTTCAGAGGCTGAAGTAACATCAACACATCATCCAAAGCCTTTGATTAAAGCAACTGGTTTTCACAGTAGAATTGGTACCATGTTAACATTCCATGCATTTATTCAGTATTAAATTACAAAAATCATTCTTCATTTAACAGAAATAAAGTACACCTAGGTTTGTGCCCATTTTGCGTCTCTCTCTTCTTCACAGGGTCCTAACAGCTAGGCTAGGAAGCAAAGCCACTCACGTTGTTTCCCATTTTCATCTTTTTGAAACTGTTCTGTAAAGTATTTATCAATTTAAGTCAGTTTTGCCTCCCACAATATTCAACTGCCCTCATGTTATTATGGAGTTGAATCTGATTTCCTACGTAGCATTCCAGCTTATCCCATTCATTGTGCTGACTCCCAGTTACATGATCCTCTGCGTCTTATCCAAGAAGGAGGAGAGTTAAAGCTAGCACCAGGGCAAAAAAGGTGAAAATGCAAACAACTGAAATTTCCAGGAGAATTTCCTATTCTACCTCTATAGATGTGTATTAGCAAAATACTAAATGAAGCAATTCACTCATTGCATGACAGCTAAAGAGTACAACTAAAGTCAAACCATTGGATTCCTCAATGTTATCTATTGAAAAGATTCATTTTAATACAAGAAATAGACAAAAGGTGGGCTATATCTGTTGGGCTGAGGACATTTTTTCAGATCTCTTAACAGCTTGAGCGTTACACTCCCAAGGAATTTTCAAAGAAGTAGCCATGTTATTCTGTGCAAGCATATCCAGATAAAAATAAAACAAAATAAAAACTTATAGGAACTTCCCAAGGAGAGAGAGCTAAAAAGGCTAATTCATCTATTTATTTATTTATTTGTTTGTTTAT